GATTGTTGCTCTTCAACATTCAAGTCTTGCTACTGCTATGTTCAACGCCTTTGCTGTTCTGATGTCCTGGATGTCAATGGCTGGTTCAACTGCTTCATACAGCAAAGCACTAGATGTGATTACATTCAACTTGGTGAATGATAAGAAGGTTCGTCTTTCCAAGAAACTGTTTTGTCAAATTCTTGGAATCCCCAATTCTCCACCATACCATACTCTCACCAATGCTAAAGTCATTCACATGTTTAACGAGATGGGTCATCAACCCCCACTCACCAAGATTAGTGATTTCAAGAAGTCGAGCCTTCCAAGCATTTGGAACTTTCTGTTTGGAATTTTTCTTCGATGTTTGACTGGCAGAAGAGTTGGATTAGACAAAGGAAGAATGGAAGTATATGTCATGGTTGCTGGCATTTACTATGATCTTGCTGTTGATTTCTCAACTCAAATGTGGAAAGAATTCCTGAAGAGTGTGGAAAATACTAATGTGATACAGGGGATTTCATGTGCTCGATACTGGAGTTTAATACTTCAGTATGCTTATGAGAAGGAGGATATTTCAGTACCTGTTGATGAAGATAAAAACAGAATTTATGAAGTATCACTTTCCGAAGTCAGTGGAAGATGATTCGGAGGTTTTCCCCAGTTGCTCGAATTCCTGATGGTATGCTTAAGAAGATTGATCCATCAAATTATGTCTTGGTGGCTTATTTGAAGAATGTGAATCCTTCCATTACAACTGGTGTTTTGTTTGAAAGCAGTAATCCAGGTTCATCCAAGAAGTCAAAGAAGTCAAAGAAGGGAGATGATAATGTTGTTCACGAAAGCCCCAAGAAACAAGCTAAGTCTAAGTCTCCTAAGCAGACTACAAATGAAACTGAGAAGCCTAAGGAGAAGGTTGTTCCTAAATCTTCGAAGGAATTGATCCCTTCAAAATCTGGTGTGTTCAAAAGATTAAGGAATTTCTCTTATAAGAAAAAGAACTTCATCAGAAGATCAATCTCCTACTATTCGCAAACCTCAGATTAACCAACAAGGAGTGAAAGTTCGTGAGATTCCTGCACCAGTTTCACCATCATCCAAGAAGCGAAGAGCTGAGGATATGGTGAAGCACATCAACAAGAAGAGAAAGAAACGAAAGTTGGTGGTTCATGACGAGTCATCATATAGTGAGATCGTCCCAGAACCACCTTTGGGTTCGAATTCCCCAAAACTCTCACAACCACTAATTCTCATAAATGTTTCGTTGCCAACAACAACAGTTCCACTCGAAATTGTTGTAACCAAATCAGTTCCTGAGGAGGTTCCAATTTCTGCCATTGTTGCAAACGTATCTGATACGGGTGCACATGTTGTGGTGAGTGTTGATCCATCATCTCAAGGTATTCCTACTACATCTTCTTCTGAACCTATTTCAAGTACTTTTGTTTCACTTCCACCTTTTATTCAACACATTTCCACTACCACTACTTCACCAACTTTCGATCAAGTATTACAACAACCCTTCACTACACTTTTCCCATCAAAATCCACCGATCCACCAAAACGAAATTCCGATGATGAAACAGATGGAGGAGGTTTCGGAGGAACATTTTCTGATTTGAAATTTGATTCCGAAGAGGAGAACATACCTGATCATATGCTGATGTCGGGGAAGCAGTTCAAGATTCTCAATCGAAAACTCAATTCTATTCTTCAATCACAAGCTGATTCCGGAGCAAAGAATTCAGTGTCAGGGATAGAAGTTGATGTGATGCTCAAAGCTGTAGAACTTCGAATGCAACATCAATTGGATGTTATCGATAAGAACAACGATTTGAGAGTCAAGGCTCAGGCTGATTCATTTAACTCTGAAATCAAAGATCTTCGTATGGTAACAAAAGAACGTCATGTTCTTTTTGTTAAAGATGTCAAAACCATAAGAGAAGATGTTAATCGAAAACTTGAGGAGCTGAAGGTTGATGTCTCCAAAGAGCTGAATGAGCTGAATTCCAATTGTTCGATAATCAAGTCAAATGTTGACACTATAGCGGCTGCAGTCAGAACGATTGTTGAATGGTATCAAGCATTAACTCCCAAGTTTGACGTAAAGGCTACAGCAGATGCTCAAAATTTTGACAAGATGGGTGTTTTGCTTGGTGAACCGAAAGAGTTAGTATCGAAACCGGCTCCAACTTCGTTTTTAACTCCTGAGTTTTTAACTCAGAAGTTACATAGTTTGGATCAAGCCATTCAGAAGACTGTTGCTCCAATTTCGAAATTTGCCAACATGTTGCCTGCTGGTGCCCCTCCTATTGTCACAGGGGTGCAAGGGGGAGAAAAGAAAATTCAAGAAGGCAAATCTTCGAAAATTACAAAAGGGGTTGATAAGTCGAAAAAGATTGAGAAGACTGTAACTACTGGTGAATTAACGAAAGTTGTATCTACTCAAGACCCAACACCGATAGTTTCAAAGATGATTACAACAGAAGCCATCAAGACAACAACAAAACCTATTCTGAAGGGAATTATTATTGGCTCTTCTACTGAAGGAGGAAGTTCAAGTTCTTCTAAACAAAAAAACCTTCTGAAGATGATGGAAAAGGGAAGGGGATTTTGGTTGAAAAATCGAAAGAAGAAAAGAAGGCCGAAATTGAAACTAAAATGGAGAAACAAAGGCAGATACAGAGCATACTAAGACTTCGTGAAAGTGATCCACCTAGTATGGATAAGGGAGATCCAAAGAAGTTGTATAGCTATGAGAATATTGAAGCAAGAGTTGCTTTCAATCAGATGTATGCGTTTGACAAAAAGCCTAAGAAAAGCTATTCTATCACTAACACTGATATGAATCAACTTGATTTTCCGGTGAATGAAATGATGTTTATCATGGCTCAGTACAAGATAGTTGAGAAGTTCGACAACGAGGATGATTTTATTCATATGAAAACTTAGGTTTCATGCGGTTGTTGGAAAAGAACCAGAAGAAATATGGTCATTAGTGAAGATCAAGAAGGTTATTAGTATAACAAAAGATGTAATGTTCGAGAATATGATACATAATTTTCGGTATCATGTTGTAAGAGCGAACAATCAAGTATGTGATTTCTTGGTTGCTGATTTTCCTCTAATGAACTTGAATGACCTGATTCAAGTTGCATTAATTTTGAAAGACATGGAGGCTTCGCAACTTCAAGGGACTGACAAAGATGTATTGAGGCTTGGTCTTGCCCATATCAAAATCTTCATAGACAATTACTATGATTGTCTAGCATTGACTGATGTGGAGTTAGCATCAGCAATGGGAAAGGAAGTGAAAGTTTCTATGGAATTGTCGAAGACTCAAGCTGAACTGAAGAAATATGCTGATGGGGAGATATGCTTAAAGCCTTTTGGATTGGTCTTTGCTGGAAAAGATAAGAATGGCAAAGCTAAGAGGTATTTATTCCAGTCTTCAGAGATAGAAAGATATACTACTTCGCAATATACGAACTTCATTGTTCGTATGAATAATTGCAAGAAGAATAATGATGGAGATAAAGTTGAGTTAAGGAAGATAATGACATAGTACTCGGAGATACGAAGGATGATGCACTTTGCTGCACAGATTCTCACGAATTGAGAAGTTCGACATGATTACAAAGGGGGAGATTGTAGAGTCGAAATATCTTGTAATATGTCAAAGTCTATGTAATAGATAGTTTCGTATGTTTCCTTATGTATTTGCTAAGGCATCTTTTTGACGAAGCTTAATGTCTAGCCTTAGTATTTTTTGTACTTTCAGCCTCCTATAAATAGGAGCTGAACATAGAGTTGATGGTAGAGTTTTCCATGTTTTACTATCAGTTTTGTACATAGAGTTGATGGTAGAGTTTTCCATGTTTTACTATCAGTTTTGTACTGTTGTTCTCTAAAAGTAATATGAGCTAAACCAAACCTTATTTACTTCTTGTGTTCATCTTTTACTCTGATTTGATTCTCATACTCGATTAAACACAACTACACTCCTCCACCTCGGCCACCTCCTTGCTCCACCTCTTCCTTGTTGAAGCTTTGTCTTCCCTTGCTCCACCTCTTCCTTGTTGAAGCTTTGTCTTCCCTGCTCCTTCTAGTCTTATAGTTTATTATGCATCTATTACAACCAAGGGTTTCAATGCAAATCATTACACCCTATAGTTTACTATGCATCTATTACACTTAAGAGTTTCAATACTCATTACATCACTTTTTATTTTCTATATCTTTTTCAGCCCAGCGAAAAAAAGAAAAACAGTTCTATCTTATTATAAACATAATAGATCATTAAAAAATCATGTAAGGTTTTGTTGCTTTCAAACAATAAACATAGTAAATCATTTAACTATAATTTAGTTATTCAGTTTAATGTGTTAAAAGAATGAACTAACGGTTGTGCTCCAACGAGGAATGGGATGTATATCGTTAAAATATAATTGGAAAAAAGCGTTATGTACTTTATAATATTTAATAAAAACACAAATGAAAAAATATTTAAAGTCTGCAAGAAGAAACTCTTAAGTGAATAGCAACATAACCGAACTTTTTATTTGCAATAATTTTTTTATATTTTTTATCGAAATTTTGAGCAATGTTTATCACATTCATTAATTATTTTTGAAATGAATAAAAGTAAAAAAGAAATAAAAAAATACAGATATGACAAAATTATTTTTGTGTTTTAGTAATATGTATTTACAAATTGGCAAATAAAACAGCAAGAATATCTTAAAGAAAGGGTATTTCTACTACCATCAAAAGGTATTTGCTTGCACTCTCTTTCTTCCACAATTGGTGTCCCCCCAATCTATCTCTGTTCAACTCCTCACACTGCAAACACAGCTCAGGGAGAGAGAAAAGAGAATCCGAAGACTCTTTCTGTAATTGTTTTTTCTCTTACTTTCTCGAGAAAGTTCTGTTTGAATCGTACAAGTTCATAGATGTTTCAACAGCTTGGTCATCAAAAACCCCATTTGTATTTGTTTTAGATCTTTGTTGTCCGTACAAATATGTTACCGGAAAAATCTGTTAATTCATCATGGGTTTTCCGGTCTACGATACAGTGGTCTTTTAGGGTTTTGATGTTTGCTGTTGTTGTTGGATTAATGATCTTCTGGGGTATCGATGGCTTCGATGTTAGTGATTTCCACAAAGATTTTGTTATGAAGTTGGATGTTAATCTTGGGAAAGGTCTAAAGACTTTGAACTACACTAACCGTGCAGATTCAGATTCGGCACCCACACCAACACCCCCTTTGGATGTCAATTTGACTAATCCGGCTGAAGCTCACCAAGATTCACCGGCAAATGTCATCGGAAAACCAAAACCGGTGAGTTTGGAGTGGGTTTCGGCTGAGCTAGACTCCAACTACTCGTCGAACCTACTGGTACGGTGGATGGCACCCGGCGGCGAGCCATGTAAAGATTCAAGCACAGAGGGTATATTGATCCAGGGTTTGGATGATAATAATAAGATCGAGTTATCTTCTGGGGACATCCACACTTATGTAATCCAAACATTGGATGGTTCCGGTAAACCGCGTTGTTTAGGTGGTGATTATTTCGAAACCGATCTCTCGGGTGACACCTGGAAATCTCGTCCCCCAATCAAGGATTTTGGTGATGGTAGATACTCATTTTCTCTCCAAGTTCATCCCGAGTTTGTCGGTGACTATAATCTCACAATAGTTCTATTGTTTAGACACTACCAGGGCTTGAAATTCTCGCCGGAGCGATTCGCAGTTGATAAGGTTCTTAGAATAATTCCGATTAGTTTCAAGAACAACTCAACCACGTCCGGTCAGTTGCCCGATTTAAGAGTATGTAACAAAAAGTCTGATTACGCGAGGGATGTCTGGGCAGGTCGCTGGACCCGACACGGGAAGAACGATAAGTGTGAGATCAGCAACGACGGCCGGTACCGGTGCCTCGACTACAACTACCCGTGTCAGAATCCATGGTGCCACGGACATCTGGGATCCATCGAGAGCAACGGCTGGGTCTATTCGACCCATTGTTCATTCAAGCTGTTTGATTCCAAATCAGCTTGGAATTGTTTAAATAATCGTTGGCTCTTCTTCTGGGGCGATTCGAATCACTGTGATACGATTCGGAACATGCTTAATTTCGTCTTGAATCTGGAAATGGCGACTGTTCCACGGCTGTTCGATATGAACATTACAAACCCTAATAACAAGATACAGTCGCTTCGGATCACCAGCGTTTTCAATGGTCACTATAACCATACCGGGAACTATCAGGGCCTGAATTCGCTCTACAATGATGCTTACAGAGACTACCTGAAGCAGTATTTTTCCGGCGACATTGTTCCCGACACATTAATCATGAATTCCGGGTTACACGATGGGGTTTATTGGCCTAACTTGAGAAGATTCACAAAGGGTGCTCAGGATGCTGCTTCATTTTGGGCGGAGGTTCTTGACGGGGTGAGGCGGAGAAATATTGTGGGACCGGAGGTTATATACAGGACCACCGTGGCTACCGGTGGATATGCACGGAGATTGGTGTTCAATCCAAACAAAATGGAAGCTTTCAACGGTGTTTTTCTGGACAAGCTGAGGCAGTTTGGAGTGATTGATCATGTGGTGGATCATTTCGACATGACTTATCCTTGGCATTATGATAATCGGTGCAATGATGGCGTACATTACGGCAGAGCTCCGGCGAAGATGCGGTGGAGGGACGGTGAGATTGGGCACCAATATTTTGTTGACCTGATGCTGTGTCATGTGCTGCTGAATTTACTGTGCGCAAGATAGCAGCGTGGGTATGGGTATGTATAGATAAGCGGTGGAGGTAAATACAAGGCAGCCAATTTGGGGGGTTGTATTGTAATATCATGTATTTTTCACATTTTAATATGTAGCTGCTAATTGATGCCGGCCGTTGATTCTTTATTATTTTTACCTGTTTTTTTCTTCTCCTAATAAGTTTAAATTTTTAAATATTCGGTCATCTTTAATGAAATTCCATTTCAATTTTATCAATGTAATAAAGTGATTGTAAGAAATATATATCCAGCATACCGAACTTTCTAACATGCTAGCAATTATAACGATCACGTTGCCATGAGACATTGCTTAATATTTTATATTTATAATTTATTTATGTAGCAATTCATCTATTTTATTAAATAATGCAAATGAGACGAATTATATGATTATGTTTTTTTTTTTTTTGGAAGAGAAATTATATGATTATGTTTTACCCAGTTAAATATGTTTTAAGTAAAATATCAACTATCAAGGTCTTAAAATTAAATGTGGTTGTATTACTTCACAGGATCTCATTTTATTACATACTAAACCAACCAACTTTTCATTTTTGTTTTATTTAGCCATTGAAGTTTTTTTTTATTTTTTTTATTTTTTATTATTATTATTTTTTTTGTGTATTCTAAGTCACTCAACTTTCAAATCACATGTTAAAAAGAATATTACTAAGATGAAGAGGTCGCCCAGTCATATATTACATGTTAAAAAGAATATTACTAAGATGAAGAGGTCGCCCAGTCATATATTATGTCACACCCCCAAACCAAGGATGGCGGAAACGTCCGGGGGTGGATGACTTCATGTATAGTATCATAACAACAATTGTAATAGTAATTGAAGCAAACACAACCAACATATATATAATTGAAAAAGTGACATCATTGTATGAATTACATGTTTACGAATCAATTACAATATGTTGACAAAATATGAAATAGTAGACGCCTTAGCGCCCCATCCTCAAAAGCACTTGGTTACCTGTTTAATGATTTCCTGAGAATACAAGTTGTTTGAAAAAGTGTCAACACAAAGGTTGGTGAGTTCATAAGCTTTTGTTTGGTATTATTAAAAGCCTTTCGTTTGTAAAAGTAGTATTTGTGTTAGAAAATCCAATATTTTCCTTAATGTGTAAATGTAGTCTTAAAACCCAAAGACCGAAATGTACAAGTAATTTGTCATATTTATAGTAAAACAATGCAAGTTTAAATCGACATAAACTCGTTAAATTTTAATGAAGTTCCCGTAAATTTCAATGTTTATTAATACTTTATGTGAGTTTATTATAACCATACTATGACCAAGGTTGCCTAAAACGACGTTCTTCAGGCGTCAGAAATGTTATGACATTTGTCACCCCAGACCTATCGGTCTAACTGTTGCATGCAGTTTAGGTGTGGGTTTGTCAAACCCAATATAGATCTATACACAACCATTACGCTCTCCCTCAAGGAGACTCTAGTTACAATACATGACTTAATGGTAATTTGAAGTAAATGTCTCACAAAGTCATTAACGGAATTACGTGTTATGAAAACTTGGTACCGTATGGCCGTACCTTGCTTAATGAAAATATCCTTTGTATAAATGTACCCTTTTTAAATGTATGTGTTATGTAATGTATCATAAACTATACCTATTATAGTTTATCAACCAAGGGTAGTACGTAGTAATGTATGCAAACTATATTCAAAATAGTTTATTAAATGTTTGAATGTATCGGTTGTACTTTGATTATAATCACTTGTTATTCTTTATATTTTATATGTCCAAATCCATTTGTAAACTGATGTGTGTCTAAATATTAAGATAAAATGTCATATATTGCAATAACATATAATCACATAAAGATATACACCTTGCTCAACATGTTACAAGGTGAAATGAAATTGACAGCAACTTTTCGTTGAATACAGTTTCTGTTACTGTTCTTAGAAAATTTATAGAAAAATCATCAAAGCTCTAAATCCAAATCCGCAAATTTTGAGAGTTTGGAATATGAGTCTAGTTTGTTCGTAAATTTTATCATTGATTTTTAGTGATATCTAACAGAGGTGAAAATGTTCATAATCACAGACTGGTCTGGGTTTGCCTCTGAAATGATAGGCAGTTTTGTAAAAATCACCATAAATTGTAGAAAAATCATATGGAGATGTGCAAGTAGCCATTTTAAAGCTAAGAGTTTGAACTACTTGCACCTGGAACAGTTTTGAAAACTAAAATATTTAAGTTGACCAAAACAGTCCGTGATCGAAGTTCATCTTTTCTGATGTAATCTGATAGAAAAAGTTTAATTGTGTTCTTGATGATTTTACTTGTATTCCCCCTTAAAACTTAAGAAAAACATGTAAATGTAGGGGTATGAACTCACCTTATGTGTTCTTAGAGGATGGATGTTGGAGAAGAGAAGTGTTCAACTCAAAAACACTTAGAAGATGCCTTGACGAATCGAGAACCAAGAGTGGAAGAAAGCTTGATGATTAACCTTGGAAGTCTTGAAATTGAGAGAGAATGGTGTAGAAAATGAGTGACTTAAGCCTTGTATTTATACTAGTAAGAATTACTATTTATATATAATTCTTTAATAATAAGTGTTAAATGTTGACATTCTCCATATAACTAGTTAGTGTATATGACATATTCATGATGTAATCATGACAAATGTTTCTAGAAGATGGTTAATACTAATTGGCTAATAATAGTAATTTTTAAAACGTAAATAGTAAATAGTAGGTAGTAAATAGTAAATAGTAAATAGTAAATAGTAAATATGATGAGATTTTTACAATTGTCATATTTGTAAACCCCGTTAAGCCATGTTTAAGAGTCTTACACAGCCCCCGATAATTGTGCAATAGTGTTTTATCGCTTTGGTTCATTGTTTAGCACTGGCTAAGGAAAATCAAACACATGAATTTTCCAAATGATGTTTTCTCATTAAAATAGCGAATTGTACAACGTAAACCTTAACATACAAGGGTTAATGGAGTTGACCGGTTTGACTTGTTGACTTTGTTTGACTTTGACTTGACTCAATTTTGACGGTTGTCACATCATCCCCCCGTTAGAAGGAATTTCGTCCCGAAATTTGCATTTGACTGGGACATCAAGAGTTTGGGAAAAGATGTGGGTATTTTTGTTTCATTTGATCTTCGTGTTCCCAGGTGAACTCAGGCCCTCGTTTAGCGTTCCAACGGACCTTCACGATGGGAATACGACTTTGTTTCGTTCGTTTGATTTCCCGATCCATGATTTTGACTGGTTCCTCCACGAAGTGGAGATTTTTGTTAACTTCGATTTCGTCGAGTGGTATTACGAGGGTCTCGTCGGATACATTTTGTCAATCATATTTTCGGGGTAAAAAAAAATAAAGTTTTATTAGTTACCTATAGCGACGACTTGTCGTCACCACAGGTTTAATCTATTACGATGACTTGTTGTCGCTAAAGATTTTTAACAAGAGCCAACGACATACCTATAGCGACACACAAGTCATAATTTGCATGTGTGAAGACTTGGAGTACTTTCTAACTGGTTCATGTGTGAAGACTTGGAGTACTTTCTAACTGGTTCATGTGTGAAGACTTGGAGTACTTTCTAATGAAAACTGTGCTACTGGGGAAATTGGAAACTGGAACGTAGCTTCAAAGTCAAGAATATGCAGTAGGCATGTGATGCATTAAATGCATGAGGCACACAAGTCATAATTTGCAGCAACATATCCGTATATGTGTGTGAATTGAAGAAGAAGGTTACGGCTCAAAGAATATATATATATATATATATATATATATATATTATATATATATATATATATATATATATATTCATTTTCTCTTCATTTGTTAGATACACAATAACCATAACATCATAGACTATGTATATTCCATTTCATTTGTAATTTTCACTAGTTTATATTCCGCGAGTGTTACCGAAATCATTTATCAATTTTTCAGAAGTGCTTAACTTGTTTTGTTGCATTCCCAACAACTTGCTATTACTTCTCCCACTTTACTTATATAAATCATCACATTCTTACCGCGACTTTTAACTTCTCCCTCACAAATGGATCCACCTGCAGATCATCAAAACCCCATAGATGACCTCGATTGGTTTCAGTACTTTGATCATCAAGATCTTTTCAGGTATATATAAACGTCACTCATTACACCATCTTACGCACAGAAAAGTGATTTTGTCGACATTGATCAAAACATGGTTTGGATTTGTAGTGATCAAAAAGAGTCTTTCATCGTGTTGGATTTGATTATCTTGAGTTTTTTTTTTTTGGATTTTTGCAGTGGTGACATGCTCAACCATCATGATTACGAGTTGTCGGAAAAATTGCATGAAGGGCTCGATCAGAACGTTTCCACAGTACTTAACAAGGATCAAAACATCATTTCTAGAAATGAGTTTCACGATCTTGATCCCCTTGAAGATATAAGCTTATGGGATTGTTGGGAGGATGGTAATTTACCATTGGTTAGTTTCAGTGAAGACTATAAATCCGGTGGTGAGGCTACATGTAGTGCTAGTGCTGTCACCACTGATCACGGTGGCCGGAAGGTGGCAAAGAGATTGAGACCATTGGAGTTTGAAGAGATAGAGAAGTACTTTGAGATGCCGATAATCATGGCAGCAAAGGAACTAGGGATAAGTTTAACAGTGTTGAAGAAAAGATGCAGAGAGCTAAACATAAACAGATGGCCTCATAGAAAACTTAAGAGCCTTCAATCCCTCATTGAAAATGCCAAGGTAAATTATGATAATAACCTTCTATACATTACTCATGCACTTGGTAACCAAAGTAGTTTTGGTATTTTCTAAAATTTTAATCGTTAGCTTCTTTATAACTAAACATAGGTCCTAGGCATATGCCACATCAAATCAATTGATTTACTACGATCTCCTGATTTATATTTATATAAACTTGACTCATTGTAAATTTTGTGAACTCACATGAAAAATATATTGTATCTACCTTT